ACCATTATCACCCCCATACCTCACACCCAACCCCCTGCCAGCATCACCCGGGCACCCCTTAGGCTTGCCACCTCTCTTTGAATCTACCCTGGGACGTTTCATCACAAGACACAACGACATGAATGACTTTACATCAGGAAGGCAAAAATACACACAGACTTATCACCTTTTAAAAACCCACCGGCCTACGATATACATCGGATTCAACGTTTCATATTTCTTTGAACGAATGCTCTCGCATTTATCTCCCGGGTGACTTCAGCACTCTCCTGGAGATATACTTCTCATTTCCGGAGACGCCAGGGCCGTCTGGAGGGTTGGCACCCCTGTGCTCCCCGGGCACCTCCGCCCGCTGCCCTGGCTATTGTCGCTCCCTCCCCGGGGCCCCGCTCCCCAACGGTCCCAACCGCCGCTGCCCGGGTGGGGGGGGGCGTTACCAGGGCTCCCCAGCCTCGCGCTGCCTCCGGCGCCTCCGCTCGCCCAACGTTCCCCGGTAACCACGGCAACGCTCCGCCCCCGCCGGCGGCCTCGCATTGGGCGGGCAGCAGCGGCCCCTGGCGGCCAGTGCGGGGAGCTGCAGTTGTGCGGGCCCCAGCCCAGGGCGAGCTCGGAGCAGCTTTGCTGCAGCTGCTGCTGCTCTGCCCCTCACCCTCGTGCTGCAAGGAGTGCGAGTTGCCTCTGCCCTGCCCTGCGCTGTGCCGTGCCTGCTTGCTCTGCAGTGAGACCCAGCAAGCAGGGGTCAGGCTAGCCAAGGAGCCCTCCCACACCTTGGTGGGTTGCGAGCATTTGGCCCATTTGCGGGGGGCTGCCCCAAGCTCCTGCAGAAGAAAGGGTGACTGCCATGGGACAGGGTGGGTGGCAGCATGGGCAGATCTAGGATTTTGAAAAGGAGGTGGTGTGCCCTTGCCCTTGCCACAGCAGCTGTTTATCTGCAGCAAGCTAGAAGCTTTTCTAACAGGCCAGGGGCTTAGGATTGGATCAGATGGAAACAAAAAACAACTTGAACTTCCTTGGAATGAGTTAGAAGTAAAATGCCGGGCTGTGGACCAGGAGCTGCATGAGCCGGAGCAGACAGCTGCATGGCATTACAAAGGGTAGCTCCGCTGGTGGAGTACAACGTTTCAAGTTACAACCTTTCGCACTTACAACGATTATAAATTGACACCCTGTTTCAACTTTAGGACGTCAGTTTCGACTTTACAACATTCGATCCGATGCAACGCCATGCCTGCGAGCAAGTTCACTGCATCGCTCATCTCCCTGGAGAACGTCTGTCCAAACTTCCTCGGACACGTCCTTTAAGAAAGCAGACGAGACTCCAGAAAAACCTGCAGCCAGGACTCCCGGGAAGACTCCAGCCGAGAACCTGTCAAAAAGTCCAGCCGAGAGCCATTCAAAAAGTCTAGCAAAGTCATCTCAAAGAAGTCCTTCCAAATCAATATGATTGCTATTTACAATATAAATACATTCACGTAGATACATTACTCATCTATAATTGATCGAGTACAAAATTCTGGGGTATTTTTGGTGAAAATAGGGTATCAGGCCTTGGTTCAGGAACCAATCCCTCACTTATAACATTGTTCCTTATGAGAAATTGGTTCCGAGTTACGTTTTGACTTCGGACGCGGTTTTCAGGAATCAATTGTGTCATAAGTCCGAGGACTGCCTGTATAAAGATGGTTAAAAAGGAGAGAAGGTTGTTAACACCTGTGGCATGAAGAGTTTAGAAGGGATCAGGTGGATGATAATTAATCAGCCATTAGCACTGCCTGACTAGAAATGCTGCTGCCACTGCCAGGCAGTTGGTTGTAAGCTTTGGGTGGAGCAGGAATCAGAGCGGGGTGCAAATGCACCCCCTGGATCTGCCCTGGGGTGACAGGGCTCCAGACCCAACCCGCAGGACAATGCCAAAGCATTGGGATTTGTTACTGCTCCTTAATGCATTAGTGCCTGTTGCAGGGATGTATTTGGTAGTCGTGTTGGTCTGAGACAAATAGAAATGCAAAACTCTAGAACTCTTGGTTCAGAGATGATGCCTTTTATTAGACCACAAAAAAGAAATCACAAAAAAATTATCTTCTTGTACCTATTGCACACCCATTAGGGCCCAGTGTACAAGGTGCAATATGCACACAGCACTAAGAGGGCATCTCTGCCAGGCCACACAGGGCTTACGGTCCACATAAAACACACACGGTAAGGATGAGTACTAA